GGTAAAAATAACGTTTTCTTTATAAAAATAGATTACCTGTGGGGTGTGCTGTTTAGCGAGTTGATTCGTCGATTTCCCATTTAATAACTGGCAGGTTCAACATTTAATTGTACCCTTTTAACATAACATTTATAATAATGGCAAAGAATATCTTCAATATTGATATGTCTTTCTTCCTTGAAGCGTAGTAAGACGTGCTCTATTTTTTGTTCAACTAGACGAGTTGTAAAGCTTTTCGGTTGGCTAAAAGACACCGTGATGGTCTTCGTTGGATAGCAGTTAGTAGTGATATTTTTTGTTTAACTCTACGAACTGTGATATATTTCGTAAGAGTGTTGCTATCCGTGATTGTCTTCGGTGGAGCGCGAGTGTGTAAATTGGTCTTCGCCAGACTTCGTAAACTATGATAGACTTCGTGAGAAGCTCTTAGCTGGTATAGTTTTCGTATGTATCTGCAGTGTGATTCTTTTCGTACGAGCCGTCGACATCATCTAACTTTGTAACGTTTTATTGAGTCTGAAGATAGCCGTATATTTAGTGCTGTCGATTCATGAAACGTAATTTTCTTAGAAATTTAACATTTGTTCCATTATTGACTAAAAATGATTTCAAAAAATCTGACGGTTTCAATAAGTAAATAAAAGAACGTATCATTCCAAAAACGTAAAAAACAGTATGATCTCAAAAATGTATAATAAAAATATTACTGTTTTTTATTTAATTTCTTTTTTAGACAACACTTTTTTCAAAAATTTATCGAGACAATACACTCCTCTACTCAGTTAGCGAAATTCATCGCCTCCTTCCCCACAACCCCCAGTTCGAATACACAACACGATTGACCTGATTGTTTTTGCATTATAAGATCTTTGCGCTGGAGATAAAGAATATCAAAAGACCCTCACAATGGGCCACTCGGATTGAAAGACTCGCTCGGAAAGCAAATTAAAAAACAAGACCCTACAACACCCCGTATACGTATAGGAGAAAGAAAAATCTCTTACACAGCCGCCAATTCCTCTTTATCTGCCTTTCTCCCACACAATCGCTCTCGCGGCCTATCTCGCACCTCCATCTCTGTGGATCGGGCATATAATACACACACGCGCTACAACTGCAGCAGTTCGCACGGGCTCGCGCGAAAATTTATGAGGAATCGAGGCAAGTGCTGCAAACGCAGGGGCAGGCGTGTCCCGGCGCGTTTTATACGTCTGCCTCCTCTTTCGCCGTATCGCGCGCACCGCGGCAGGACGGAAACCACTCCTTTTTCGCGACACCGTGCCGGCGTCCATTCATAATTTCCGAGCGCGTTTGTACGTGCCGTGCGTGAACTTACGTGCGAATACTATTCCGCGGCGCTTAATAGGCTGAAATTAACGCGACTTGGGGAGAGATAAAGAGGCAGAGGATCGCGATAGCTGATTAATGTGGAGCGCGAGGACGAGGAACCACCTATCGCTCGTGCCATCTTGAAGTTTCTCTTTGCTAATTTTTGTATTTTTTTTTTTTTTTTTTTTTTTATAGAAGAGATACGATTGTGTGAGTATATGTTTCAGCCAAGGTTTTATGAATTTACAAGAGTTCATTGAAAACACGAGTGAAATATCTTACAATGGATAAATAGCCAGAGCATACAACGCGTACTTACAACCATTGCATTTTAAAAGGGTAAGCATGCATGGATGAATTAAAAGTTGAAAAATCAAGCAAAAGCTTGACTTTGAAATTGATAATCCAATTAAATATTTGTTTTGCTCTTCTATTCTGTTACAAGTTTCGAGTTGAATTGTTATTAAATTTCGTTTTTATCAATGTGAATGGGGTAGGGGGGATAACTTTTCCTTTCAATTAAAAAGGCAATCAGAAGCTCCGCATAAATCAAACTTCAATTTTCTATGGTGCCTGCACATCGCCACTTTGGCAATCGCATAATTGTATCTCTCGGATGACGATTAAGAATCTCCCACTCGCATGGATGCGGGGAAAAAAAAAGAAAACGCGATGCCTTTATGTGAATTACAAGATTCAATTTTCGCTTCTGCAAGGCGAAACAAAGTCCGGCAAACTCGTTACGCGCGTCTGTGCCCTTTCGCTTGAAAATGTAATACCCTCGTAAAAGTCGAGGGGCTACAGTGACGCCTTTGCGACTTCCGAGGGGCTTTTTTTGCCTTTGCGGACCCGATGGGAGAGGGAAAAAAAATTGATGAATTTCAAGGAATGAAAAAAAAAAATTGTATAATCCCACCATTTCAAAAAATACCCTTTTTTCGCGTAGCCCTATGACCGTAAATCCAAAGCAATGGCTGTCCGTTCGATTAGAATCGTTCTTTCTCTCGGATTAACGCAACGCATGGAAAAAAAAAAAAAAAACTCGACCTGTCCGGCTGTCGTCTCCTTATTTCCACTCGTCGAGTGTAGGAAACTCGATACTCACTTCCTCAGCTTCGGGCGCGGCGTCTTTTTCAGTCCGGCTTTTTGTCGCCTCCCCCACCCCTTCCCTTGCTCTGGTTTTACCCCTGTTTTTTGTCCTCTACACTCGCGATTCCGATTCTGCGAGTCTTCCCATCCGCGCGAGACTCTCCCTTGGCTTTTTTGCCCCTCGACAAGGATATACACGCGTTAGTTGAACTTTCGAATGTTTCGCACGATTTTTTACCATCCATAGTACTTCCACTGATTCGCTCATGGAAATCGACTTATGACGGCTCCTACAGTGGGAACGCGATCGAATTCGTAGAGAAAATTGCACCGTCCCGTGCACAAATATTTTCAGCTAAAAAGTGCGAAAGTGATTCACCAAAGAACGATTAGCCAGAGTCATAGTAATGACAATAATAACGATAATATCCAATAATAATCGAAAGAGGGAGGGGGGAGAGAAAGAGAGGCGTCACGGAATACGATAACGCGATACATAATCACGTGTTTGCGCGTCGTGTAGCTTTTAATCGCCGGATGTGATGCCGAATCCAGTTTGTTGATCGTGTGCGTGTGTGTGTGTGTATCTGTACGTGTGTACTTATATCACAGGAGCCGTCGCCGCTGCGGCTCGTTGGCTCCGCTCTCGCCGCATAATTAAGAGCCAAAGCAAGTGGCGGACCGCGTGTGCACGCGTGCGAGTTAATATACGCTCTCTCTCTTTCGAGTGTACATGTATGTATACATTGTACGGTGGATGGACGGAAGAGAGCGTATTTAATATAAATAGGTACACGCGTGTTCACGTAACATACCGACTTTCGCTCTCGTCTTTGTACCCCGCGTGTGTATAGGCTCGAAAGACGGGCTTTTCGCCCTCAATGCTTTGTTTTGTTAAGTACTGCTGCTCGCATTACTGCCCATTTTTATATTAAACATACCGGTTTGGGTATAGGGATGGACAATCAACACTTTTACCTTCTGGTATTATCCGTTGACGTCCCTGACATGCGCATGCAGGTGTTCGCAGCGAGTTTCTTTGATTGTTGTTTGGCACGTGTGGAAGTATTCGGGCGTGTTCGGAAAGTGTCTTGAAACCGGTAAGTTATGGGTCACGTGTAGATTTTTCGACGCATGGACGGTAAACATTGTACATGTAAATGAAAAATCAAAATAATTGAACATCAAAAGAATTGCAACAGTGATTAACCACTCGAAATTACGATGATGACTCTATTTTAGGTTTTGCAGTATCGCTTTTACCTCCAGTTTTACAATAAATTTTCTCCTTGTAAATTTTAAGTTTGAGATAATCGCCACGTGTTTATCATTTTGAGTGACTAACTACTGAAATGGATCGTCATGATATAGTTACTGCGGCTTCATTTTGAGGCGAGTGGAGATCTCTCCGTGAAACACACCAAAAGTGAGGAAAAACGATGTCATGAGGCGATAAGTTTGTCGTTTGGTAAACAGGAAAGAATAAATTAATGTGCTGACGGCTCGAAGGATGGATATGGATGATATTTATCGATCAATAACTAACTTATCGCAGTCATCGTTGCCTGCCAAGAGTTATTGAGTTTCATTTTTTCCAAGGTTAGTTCAAGCCGAAACGTTTCATTGAGAAACGATAAGAGTACACAAATATCAATAAAATGCAATATTTGTACAGATACAGTGAATGCGCGCCGATAGTTGCATCATACTTTCTCTAAATCTTTTTAATGTTGTCACAACTTACTAAGTACCTATAGCCAAGAATGATAATTTAGAGGCCCTGGTGGTGAATGGAGTGACGAGCTTCGCGAGTTCTCTGTGAATCCGGTTATTCTCGAAACTATCTAATATTAGAGACTCGTATGGCTTCACAGTTATTGGGAGCTATCTCTGGACTGCTGGAAGTTCGCAAGAACTTTGTATTTAATAAACCTTTGGTGCTATCGCCTCTGACTACAGAGGCGAGCACAACATAACCTACAATGCTCCCAACCGAAAACAACCCTCAATCGTACAGCGCTGCTACCCAATACTCACGATACCCAACCAGAGACCAGGCGATCGTGGTAGACGCGGTCGACGGATATCCCATCAAAGATCATGCTCTAGCAATCGCCGAATTAATCAACCCTACGGATGTGCTTGGTTTCTCTCGAATTGCCCAAGGAAGAGTATGTTTCTACCTCACCAGCAAAGATTTGGTAAACGAACTGACTTCAAAAGAAGCCAAGCTGACTGTAGGCAATTCTATTTTACCGATAAGGCCTCTCAATTCAAGATCTGTCAGGGTTATCATCTCTAATGTGCAACTGTGCGTTCCCAACTCAGTTATTGAGAAGGAACTTGAAAGATTAAATATTAAAACAGTGTCTAATGTTCAACATGTTAAATCAGGTATAAATTTACCGGGATTTACACACCGGGTCAGCTTTAGGAGGCAAGTATTTGTCCATCCTGACTCTGAGAATAACATACCCTCAAGCATCCAGATCTCTCATGATGGCATAACTTACAACATAATTATATTTGTCATCGTCCAAAATGACATGTGTGCTGTGTTCCCAAGAGGGACATCTGGCAAAATATTGCAAAGAAGGAGCTACCCTAAATCAGAACATAGATAACCCCATTGGTCTCACAGCCTTAGCCAACTCTCAGGAACTGTTGAATGGTGGTACTAACATCAATCCGGAGCTACCATCTATCACCAACTTGAAAAAAGCTGTCCCAATGGAAGGTTTACCCCCAACTGGGGAAGAAAAAATCACCCCAACTTCAAGGATCACCTCAAGCCTACCACCTCCAAATCCTCAAACCCAATGGAAAGCTTAAAAGGACAACCTAGATCTAAATTTTACTGCCCTGCCAATAAAATTCAACAAAAGGCCACCACCAGCTAACTCCAGTCACTCAGAAGAAGACAGAAATAAGCCACCAAAAAAAAAGAGCGCAAAGGATGGTAGTCCCTTGAAACTTAAGACTGACCCACCAAGAACTAATCCTGACATTGAGGAAATATGTGCTCAGCTCTTACCAGCCAAGGACCTAATCAACAGTGAGGAAAATAACTGCGAATTGAACTTCGACAAGTTATCACATCTACTGCTGGATCTCTACGGAAAACCTATGACCCAATCAGCTGTAATAGCCCAAAAATACACCAAGGATTTGGGCTCATTAAGTATCCTTTTAAGCAAGATGAACCAACTTATCGAAAGCCGTAACTTAAAAGTGCGCATAAACAAAAATGTAAAACAGCTCTGCTCAGATAGCGTATTAGACTCGGATGGCAGCCAGAGTGACTGCTCTTACGCTGGCAGCAAGTCCTGGCTCCATACCTAGCTAGTCAAGCTTAAGGTGGCTCCAGCGCCTAGTGCCGTATCAAAATGGGGAGACTAAAAATTAATNGGCTGAATCGAAGATAATCTCCATTGAAGAGTGAACCAGGTTCCTATGCTACTGCTACCTTGCTAAACTTCTTAGTAACTACAATGCAGAAACCACTAACTTAATCTTACAATTTTATAGCCTTATAAAAAAAAATGTTAAAACAAAAAGACTATTCTGTCAATGCATGGTTTTCATTCTTGACTCAGATATTGCTTTATTCTCTAATAAAAATTACAATATTTACTGTAATGATTTTTCTACTATCTATAGCAACATCTCCATCGACTCTGATTTAGGCCCAGTGTTAAAAATATCTCTAACACCCAATCAAATCTTACGAGAATTCTCTGATCAAAACAACTGCTTGTCTATCTTCACCGATGGCAGCAAATTCAAGGATGCTCCATGCGTTGGGCTTGCCTGCTACTGTCCACAAACCAACTTTCAGAGCGCCAAAAGCCTCAATAAGTATTCATCCATTTTTACAGCTGAATGTGCTGCCATCGTTAAAGCCCTTAATTACATACTGACATTTAATAACACGAACTTCCTAATGTTCAGTGACTCCCTTAGTGCACTAAAGAGCCTCTGCTCCCTGAAAATCAAAATAAGCATAAATCGGCTAATCCTTGATATAAAAAATAAATATTATCAATACCTAAGTAATAATCTGTTAATCTAGATATAATTATATGTGTAGAGTCCTAGCTTAAACCAGAGCTTGACCTCAACATCGTGGGATTTGTTACATTCAGAAAAGATCGCCTTTACGCACCAGGGGGAGGCATAGTTGTTTACATAAAGAAAAACCTCGCATTTAAAGAAATTAGTACAAACTCTCCCGAAGAATCTGTAGAAATGTGTGGACTGCGCTTAAATAATATACAACCAAATCTTGACCTTATTATTTGTTACAGAGCCCCAGACTTTACTCTCTCTTCAAGGGAATGGAACGAAATAGTGCAGAACGTTCATGCTAATCATAACACAATATTTATGGGTGACTTTAATGCCCACAACCTGTCTTGGAATTGCAAATCCACTGACACCAATGGTACTAATTTAGAAAATGCCTACAAAGATAAAAAACTGTTTCTACACAATTTCGATTCCACTACGTACATCAATGTGCACACAAACTACAAAAGCAACATTGATATAATCTTCTCCACGGACAGCGTCAAAGATTGCGTCAGTACAAAAGTATGTGATGAAACGTATCGTTCTGACCACTTCCCAGTTTTTGTAAACGTATTAATCAACAAGTTCTCTTATCACAACAAATCGTTCAAGCTGAATTCCACACGAACTGACTGGAACAGGGTTAATGAGTTTCTGGATAACAACTATCAAAGCTTTCTTTCCGAGGATTATGATAATTTAACCCCTACCCTTAAATTAAACCATCTTATTGAAATTATTACTGAGGCCATTAACATCGGCACACCATCCAAAAAACCTATAACAAAACGAAAACACATTAACCCTGTTCCTTGGTGGGATGGGGACTGTGACCGCGCAAAGAGATTAAAACGAGCTGCGTACAAAAAATATCAGTTCACGCTAGAACTTACTGATTTAATTTCATATAAGAAAAGCTGTGCCGAATTCAAAAAATTACTGATATTAAAAAGAAAAAGCAGCTTTATAAATTTTTCAGAAAATCTAAATTTTCGCACAAACCCCTCGTACGTTTGGAAACGATGTAAGATCCTTAAAAGTCGATAGGTGGATGTAAAATCGTACCACAATAACGAGAATTTGCAACCCAAACATCATCAAGCCGCCACTGACAAATTGTGTCCCCCCTGGGTACAAACAAACCCCGAGGATTTCCCTTTGTGTCCACCCAACGAGTTTTTTGACTGCCCCTATTCATTCTCAGAGTTTAATATAGCCCTAAATGAGAAAAAAAGTACTTCTGCTCCTGGGATAGACGGTATAAATTTTGATGTCATCAAAAGGCTTCCAGTAAAAATTAAACTGCTACTATTAGACATTTACAACGAGATGTTTTCCTAAAGCTCATTTCCACACTCATGGAAAGAAATATTCGTTTTATTTATTAAAAAAACCGACGGTCTCAACCTCAGACCAATCTCTCTTTCTTCCTGCATGTGCAAACTGTTTGAGTCCATGATTAAAAACCGCCTTCAGTGGTGGGCTGAAACCAATCTTCTGATCCCCCACAGCCAACATGGCTTCCAAAAGGGCAATTCTTGTACAGACAATCTGTTGAACTTTACCATGTTCACCCAATCAGCATTTCAAGAGAACAAAGATGTTTATGCGGTCTTTGTAGATGTCGAAGGTACCTTTGACAATGTGAACATTGACATATTGATGCAAAGGTTGGCTGTCCTGGGCTGCTCTCTCAAGCTATTAAAATTCATAAAATTCATCACTCATGAACGACATATTTTCACTGAAAAGAACCTTGAAACCTACAGGGCTATATACAAGGGGGTGCCGCAAGGAGCCGTTTTAAGCCCTATACTTTACTCTCTGTACACCATTTCAATTACTCAAAATCTACCTGACTCGGTATTTGTCTCCCTATTTGCAGACGACCTAGCTATAGCCATCAAATCTGACCCACACAATAACAACCTTGCGGTCTTAGAAAATGCAGTCCACACCATTGATGACAATCTCTCCACTATTGGTTTGAATGTATCTTCTCCAAAATCTAAATTCCTCCATCTAAACAAGAAAAAAACGGCTCCAGGCAATAAAGTCATTATCATCAGAGATCAGCCCTTGGCATCCACTAAAGACGTTAAATTTTTAGGCATCATTTTTGACTATCAGCTCTCTTTTGTAGCACACGCAAACTACATACACAAAAAATGTATGACGAACATGAACATCATCAGATTCTTACGTGGAACCTGGTGGGGTGCCCATCCAAGCACCCTCACCATCTTTTACAAAAGCTTTATCCAGTCACTCATCGACTACGCATGCTTCGTATACTACCCCACCAACTCCAAGATAAAAGTCAAACTAGAAAAAATTCAGTACGAAGCTATTAGATATGCACTAGGTTTTCGTAAGAGTACTCCCACCAACATCTTACTGGCTGAATCGAAGCTAATCTCCATTGAAGAGCAAACCAGGTTCCTATGCTACTGCTACCTTGCTAAACTTCTCAGTAACTACAATGCAGAAACCACTTACTTAATCTTACAATTTTATGGCCTTATAAAAAAAAATGTTAAAATAAAAAGACTATTCTGTCAATGCATTGTTTCCATTCTTGACTCAGATTTACTTTATTCTCTAATAAAAATTAAAATATTTACTGTAATGATTTTTCTACTATCTATAAAAACATCTCCATCGACTCTGATTTAGGCCCAGTGTTAAAAATATCTCTAACACCCAATCAAATCTTACGAGAATTCTCTGATCAAAACAACTGCTTGTCTATCTTCACCGATGGCAGCAAATTCAAGGATGCTCCATGCGTTGGGCTTGCCTGCTACTGTCTACAAACCAACTTTCAGTGTGCCAAAAGCCTCAATAAGTATTCATCCATTTTTACAGCTGAATGTGCTGCCATCGTTGAAGCCCTAAATTACAT